ATTCTAGAAAAGTTCCCAGTTTTTCTGAAAAGTTTTTGGAATTTAAAATCTCTACCTGTAGAACTGATACGGCGTCCAGGTGCCGTTCTCGGAGGAGCGCTTGTAGATGGCGAAGCTCTGCGGCCGCGGCGAGTGGAACACGAGCCGGATGTACGTGATGTCGAATGCCTTCCCTGAGGAAAAAACGAGAGGAATGAACATATGCATTTGGGCTACTACTCGTCTCGAGCAAACAAACAGGAGGGCCGGAGCGCCCGAAGGGTAGGCAGCCCATCCAGCACGGACGCAAGCCGGGCCGCTGCGAGCCGCGGCGGCATAGACCCCCCATGAGATAGGCTTCAAAACCCCCACTGCCCCGGCCCATTCTTGCCAACTTTGACATTTGATGCACACACACACACAGCAGCAGCAGCAATTTAAAAGATTGGAATAAAAGTGCATACGTCGGGCCGAGTCGAGTCCCGGACGTGATGAGCGAGCAGAAGTTCACTCCCAGGGTATTCCCTCCATGCCCTCGCGACGGTAGGGGGGTCATTATACGTCCCTCTGGACGGATCGTGGGCGCATGTGGCGGTGATCCCGCGATTCGGACCGCACTCCCCTTTACACTCCCCCCTCCCCCTCTTTTATTTCTAATCTCTGCGCGGCATTGCGCGAAGGTCGACGCGAAGGGAGCGACGACGACGGCTGAGTATATGTGGCTCCTGTGTTGGAATGCCATACAGCGCGGAGGCTGCGAGAGCCCAGTCCCAGGCCCTGGCCCTCTTCCCCCGCCGCCCCGCCCTCTTCGCCCGACAACGATACTTTATCGCTGTGACCCAAAGCCTATCGCCCAAGACTCTATCCCAGAAAATCGACGTCGCCACGCGGGCAGCCGTGGGTGAAGCACACATAACGGGAAGCATGTCCAGCTTGAGCTCGGCGCGGGCCTCAAACGCACCACCATTATTTGCTAATTATTCATTATTACTTAGCTTAGCGGTGCGAAGCTCACCGACTGCGCGTGTAGTACGGAGGAAGGCCTCGCGGTTCGCGGCCGCCGCCCGCCATGGTTCGGGAGTCGATTGGCCGAGCAAATAAAAGCTGTGTACAGTCACCTCGCGATAAGTGTCCGCTCGATAAGTGTACGTTTTAGGTCCGGGCCCTCGGCTCAGAAATGTTGCAAGTTTACTCGCCACTCCCCTAAGCCGGTGTGATTGACGGGTCATCCAGTGCGTGGAGCCCTGGCTCGACCATGGCTGGACCCGAGCCTGGGATCGGACTGGGCCAGGCGCGCCGACAATGCCGACGGGCACCTTGCTTGCCGTAGCTTACCTGAGAACGTGCAGTAGCACGCGGACACTTAGAGCGGACACTTATCGAGCGTCGGCGGGACATATACAGATCAGGCGGGTCCCCAGCGACGCACCGAACAATGAGCTCCTCGGACTCGCGAGCCTCCGAGCCAGACGCTCCCAACAGGTGTTAAACGTTTTGCTCCCTTCGGTATGTGTCTGGCGCCGGTCCCGCCATCGGACACTTATCGCGAGGTGACTGTAT